CAAAACATGCTGAACAAAATGAAAAAAAAAACAAAAAAACTATATAGTCATGAGTGGCATGAAACTGTGCATTAGCATTCAAATAGTCCATCTTTTCAATTATTCATTAACGTAGTTAAGAATCTGCTGTGTAACAACAGATGAACACTCATTTGAAATTATAAGAAGGCCTGGTTCAGGTGCTCAAACCTATAATGTCTTGGCTCAGGCGACACATCCACAGTCTGTAGCCAAGTAGAAACAACCCAACCACAGTTAAACCTTGATAATTCAGAATACTACTAGCAGAGAAATAATGTACAAGATCCAAAAAATAAAACAAGTGAAAAGAAGAAGGAATATGTTCTCCAACTATATATATATAATCAAAAGTAGTCCTTTTTCTTCACTTGAATGTGAAGTAAAAAATGAAAGATGCAAAGAAAAGGCATCGTGTTACTTTTCGTTGGAAGAAAATCAATTAAAATACTAAATTTAGAAAAAGTTTAGCAAGTATGGACAGACTGAAGTAACCTTCAGTCACATAAAGTTGGTTTATCCTGTCTTGTTTTACTTACATTAGAAATTAAAATAAATAAATACATTTCATAAAACGAAGATAAATGAAGAATAATATCATACGTGTTTTTTAAGGTTATAAATATGAAATAATTAAATGAAAAAGAAATGCTAGACGAGGAGATTATCATTTGGTAACATGTCCAAAAGTAATATTTTTTATATTATAGTCGGAACCATATTTATTTAGTGTAATGTTATTTAGATTGAATTTCATTATAGTGAAAAGCCATAACCATTAAGTTTGAGTTATTCATTTAATAATTTAACATGGAATAAAAACTATTCAGGTTTATCACAAATATGCATCAATCTTTTCAGTTGTGAAATAATGAGACTGTACATGTGGAATTTGAAATTGTTTCTTTTATCATATATGATACCTACCTCAAGAAAATGATAAGAAGTTGCCATTTCATTGGTCATTTCAAGTTCCAGTTCAACAGAATAAATGAAAGAGACTGTTATTTTAAAGCCTGGCGTGTTGAAAGAAATTGTATTGTCTGTGTGTATCGATATAAAATCATTGAGATCTAGATTTGGTGTTTGTAAGATGAATAAATTCTCGTAATAAAAACAAAAGAGATGAAACACCTTTTATTGTTTAAAAAATAGTATTATGTTATCTTAAAACACAAAACACTATTCCTGTGGTCTAAACTAAGACTTCTATGTAACACTGCTGCGTACCTCAGTAAATCGAACTGTGTCTGCTGCCTTTTCTTGTTGATTGAAAATGTCATGACAAATAAAGTTGTTGATTTCAACAGTTTCTCTAAAACTATACAAATCCTTCTGTTTTTCAGATTAATATTATTTCATTTTTAGTGCAATTTTAATCTAAATATTGCTATTATTAAAATCTTTTTCAAACAGATACTCCTTTTTAATTTTACGTAATAGACTTAAGTACTGACCTTTATCAAAATTTAAACTTGGCTTAGAATCATTTATTAGTGCTTTTCATGATGCACAGAAAAAAAGAAATATCCTTTATGGCAATTGATTTGAAGCACAAAATACTAAACGATCTCTCTCTACCTTTCTTTGTTCATCAGAGTATTAGTAATAATTATTTTCTGATTTAAAAACCTTTACCCATCTCTGAGTTATAAGTATAATACACCAATTGTCCTTTTATTTACAATTTATAAGACTTTCATCAATATTCCAAGTCCCAATGAACTTGAAACTTTGCAGTGTTATTGTTTTAAGAATAATTAGGGAGAAAACTTGTGCTTCTTGTCCAAAACACGTTTTTGGTCATGATATTTTGTATTTGGTTGCACAAAGTTTATAAAATGTAAAGGTAGTGCTGTGTACTTAACATAATTAAAATGTAGTAATACATGTATGAGGTTAGGTACATAGAGGTCTGAACAATTCTAATGGCCGTGTGGAGTTCCTCAGTGACTGCGAGGTTAAATCTAAATGAGTTAAACCTATTTCACAACACCTGATACTCACCAAACACTTCTAGTACAAAATACACCGTGTCAAATGACCTGATCAGAAATGAGGAACTTATCGACTTATCTAGTAAGAGACAAAAGATCTAGTGGTAAATTCAAAATCTTGGCATTGAGGAAAAGTATTGAAACTCATTTATTCACTTCAGTCACCAAATCTAGATCAGTATCATTTTACGTTTTATACATAGATGATCCAATTTCTTTCAATGATCCTGGGCTTTGAATTAACAATCTCTTCCATTTATCCAGTGTAACTGGAATTTAAAATGTCCAATGGAATTATCCTCACCTAGATATCCCACTTTCTAATAGCAGTTTGAACTTAAAGATTTATTCTATATATATATGGTCTTCCTTTTGTTAATAATGTAATCCCTAATACCTTTAATAAAGGTATAATTATTTCACAACTAAGACTATTTATAATAAGTCTGAATATTTTTCATTCCATGTCAAGCTATTAGCTGAAAATGTAAAAATTAATGGTTATGGTTTTCACACTGTAATCAAAATATACAGATTATTTCTCAATAAATGTGACATTAAACTAAATAAATATGGTTCCAATTCTATTCTAAAAGATACAATTTCCACTTATAAACATCGTTATTCCCACTTTTGAACCTGTTGACTTCTTGTCACCTCAACTGGCATTGTTCACCTTCAAGAACTGTTTGGACAAGTTATCATCCAACTATCTCCCAGTTTGGTCCTTTTTCATTTAATTCTTTCAGTTTTATAGTCTCAAGAACAGGTATAATCTTATTCTCTGCTTATCTTTATCAATTTATTTATTTTACTTTCTTATGCAAGTAAAATGGGACAATTAAGACCAGCATCGAGGTGTTACTTCAGTCTACTCATATTTGCTGTACTTTTCTGGAATAATTTTTTCGCTATGATAAATAAAATGGTGCCTTTCCTTTTGACTTTGCATTGAAAGGAAAAGGATGGGCTGTTTTTTTCCATTATGTAGGGTTTAGGAGCATAATCACTTTTTATTCATTTATTTTA